CGGTCCTTGCCGTAAGTGTCGCCGCAGATAGACAGGCACTTACATACATAATTACATATATACATACATACATACACACACACACATATATATATATATGTGTGTGTGTGTACATATACATATATAAGTATGCATGTAAGTAAATAAGTGTCTGTCTGTCTGTTTATATATGAATACATGTAAGTATATGCTTAGATATGTGTATGCACTGTATATGTGTACACATATATAAACTTACACACGTTAGAGAGTGTGTTCGTCTGCTTTAGATGCATATGCACCCATTACCAATAAGCATGCACAAGGCGTGTCACGGATACTCTGTGCAACTCTTGTTTTCACTGGGCGTGTCTTTCAGGAGTGGCATCCTCGCGGCGCCCATGCCCGACCGCGTGCCCCTTCGAGTTCCTGCCCGTCTGCGGAACCGACGGCACCAGCTACCACAGCGAGTGCGCGTTGGCGGCCGCGCGCTGCTCCAAGCCGGGGCTGGCCAAGAGGAGCAACGGACCCTGCCGTGAGTGCGCGAGTTTGCGCGTGAGTGCTTGTGCGAGTTTGCGTGCGAGTGCGAGTTTATGCTCATGTGTGAGTGCGAGTTTGCGTGCGCCCGGATGAGGTAGTGGGGAAGTAGGAGTACGTAAAGGCGTTTATTACGTAGGACGGTTCGCTGTATACAGTTTAAGGCTGAAAATATAGGGTTTTTAGGGAACGAAGCGCAATTATGCTGAATTTCATGTTAAACATATGTTCTGTGCATCGACCTGTATACCGATATCTATAATGTTTACCAACATATCTATCTATATCTACACATATTTATTCATATTGTCATTTCCAAATACGTACTAAATCTTTTGTAACATTGAACTGCCTTTGTTCACATGACTTATCTACCAAACATGAAGCGTTCTGCATCTAAGGTTTTCAAAACTCCCTCCTGCACCAGCCTTGTCCGACTCCTGGGGGCCACGCGTACCAGACAAGCCCTCGTGGTCTGCGCCTTCTGTGCCTTCGTCAGGGACAGGCTACGACGCCCCGCGCATGGGATCCTCGCCAATCAATGAGGTGCAGGAAAAGGCATGGAAGAGATGAAGTTCGTCTGATATTCAAGATGTCTGAGAAAGGGGGAAAACTGTAAAATTGATAGAACATGTCTTGTATGTAGAAAAAAAGATTGTGGAGATGATGCAAAAGATGTATCTGATAATCATTCTCATTCATGCCTTTTCTATATCTTTTCTACGTCAGTGAAGACGGTTCGTCAGGAAATATCTCCCTTCATAAACCTTCAAATTTCTATGATAGATGTCTATTCATCTTCAGTTCTTTTCACTTTTCTACAACTATTCACAAATATAATACTATTTCGCATATGCAATACACTTCAACTCAAAAACGTATGACCAACTTGAACAGTATAAACATAAACCACAAACACACCTGTTTTATTCCACTATAAAATGACTAAGTAAGTCTGAACAGGTCTCTCTCTCTACCAGTCTTACGTAAAACAGATAAAACAGAGATCATTTCTAAATCAAGATTTTTCTTTGGCCTTCAGTTTGGTCAAAATCACTTTCAGAAAGTTTTGGTTACTGCATAATAAGCTACTTTGTGGTCTAGCCTTTAAAAGTTTTTATTTGACTTTCAGATCGATTCTTAAAAAATCACATTGAAAAGTTATGGTTGTTATATTTTCACGATGAAAGAATAATAACAGGAGGCCGCTTATATCACGTGATCCTGACCCTTTCTGGATACATGGCTTTAAAAGGACCTTCTGAACACCTAAGTCCATAGGAACGCGATCTCTTTGAGTTATTTGTTGTTGGAAAATATGATCTGTGGCCTTAACTTTTAAGATGGAAGTCTTAGTTTCTTACTATCGAACCATTGTACATCATAAACGTAACTAAACCTTTAAATCATACAATGTATACAGGAATATTCAGGATCCTACGGTAGTCATTTTCCTTTTTTTTAGGTTAGTACTCTTATATAAACTATATCCCAATACTCCATACTGAAAACAATTTAATTATTATTGTTTTTCTGGGATAGGTGTGTCTTATATCATTTATCATAGTTTGTGGAAAAAAGGAATGAAAGACTTGAAGAAATATATTGGAAAAAACAATCTAAACTATAGTGCAATGCAGAAGGAAATCTTTACTCACTACACTTACAATTCCTCTTGACAAACATTTTTTTCTTTTTTTTTTAATGTTCACTATCTTGCTATGGTCATTGTTGAGC